AAAAAAACAATGTTTAGTGTATTTGAACATGCTCACCTACCCACCCAGTTGAAAATGAGATATAATTTATCTCATGATGATTATATATTTTACGTGGGGTCCTGGGGTCCTCTGACAACAAGCAGTAGCACAAGGAGGATTCAGAGCATTCCATTGGATGTTGCTGGCCACAACATCTCCCTAGGCTGCTCCTGTCACTGCCCACTCCATGGCTTTTCAGGCCTGTGGAAAGTGCTGGCTCAGGTTTCACCTGGCATCACTTGGAGCACATATAGCTGTTCTATCCTGAGTGCTTGGGCAGTACTTTGGGCAGTTTCTTTTGGCTTAGGGAATCCATGTGTCATATTTTCCGCTCTTCCCACCCCTCAGGAGAAGGAGAAGCAAGTGCAGATGATGTTCCAAACACACACTTTTCCTTGGTCCTATGTGAGAGAACTGAGGGCTCAGATTCTGGAGCTGCCATACAAGGGCCAGGAGCTGAGCATGGTCGTGGTGCTCCCAGATAAGGACGTGGACCTCAGCACGGTGAGACAGTGGTCTGGGTATATGTTTTCTTTCCTGAATGGAGAATCTGATGGATTCTCCATGCCTTTTCCAACCTCACCCACACTGAGAAGCACTCTCTCATTTTGCTGTCCCTCTTTCCCCCTCCTGACCTAGAACAGTATTTTTCTAAAGCCACTAGAGCCCTACACTGTCATGTCGATCAATGAGCTCCCTTGCAATGCTAAACTTATTACCTTACATGTAATACATGGACAGAGCTGAACAGATGAAGATACTGCATTCATTGTGAGAAAAAGCAAAAGGAAGCTGCCCCAAACAAGACAGGAAGCCCGGGGAGAGTGATGCCCATGGGGCTTTGGCTCTGGCTTCATAACTGACAGTTTGGAAACACACACCAACCTGAAACATGTCACAATTAGCTTGTCATCCTGGTCTTCCTTGCATTAAAACGGGCACTGTTGCCTACATGCATAAATTGTATAATGGAATTGGTAAGGGATTCTGCATCTGGAGCCCTACGTGCAGGAAGAACAACAGGTTGGTTGACAGGGGATTTATAGAAAGTCAACATGAAGTTACTAAGTGATGTGCCTATCTACTATAGTAACACAGAGTCCCTGATAAAAGGAAAACATCTCCACAAACGCATATCTGTGGGCATCTATTTGGGGAACTCAGCAGGAATTCTCCCTGCAGTGAGACCCCAACCCTGTTCTGTGCACTGGGTTGGGCCTGGAGGATGCTATCTTGGCTCTGTGTTTACTACTTCTCTCTACTGTGCCCCTCTGCTCTCCATCTTAAGAAAGCCCCAGTGCCATTGGTACTATTTTCTTTCTGTTATCTGCTTTTACTTTTTTTCTCATTCATTGTCCTTGTAAATTATTCAGGAACTTCCTCTGTGAAGCTTTAACTCTTTCTAGTCAGGATAAGATAGGGAGCTTTGGAAGGCCATCACAATATTGTGTTCCTGCAGATAAATCAGTTTGTGTACATCTGCAACTCCAGCCCTGTGGGCACTCTGTGACAGACATCTCTTTCTTGATCAGAAATTATCATTTTCCTTCTCCAAAACTAAGTCTCATTTAGAATGCAAACATCACACCAAATGCAAATACACTCAAAGTGCAGCCCCCTGCATTGGGCACTGATTTGCAGTGGTCACAAGCAGGCAGCCACCCATCTCCTACCTGAGGAAGTCTCAGCTAAGGGTGCATGGCAGAGTCTGGGTGGAAGACAGCCTGAAGACCTCACAGGCTTCATGACAGTGAGAAGGACAATGTGTGACAATGGAGACCATGAGCCTGAGAGAGGACGCTGAGCTGCCCCTGGAAGGGATCATGGTGAATGGTTAATGTATCTCAATGGTAAAGTCTAATTCTGATCTTTCAGGTGGAAAAAGCCCTCACTCCTGAGAAATTCCAAACCTGGACCAGTCCCGAACACATGCGTAGAATTGAAATTTCAGTTTTCCTTCCAAGATTTAAACTGGAAGAAAAATACAACATGGCCTCTGTTATGCAGCATCTGGGTGTGGTTGATGTCTTTGATCCGGGCAATGCAGACCTCTCTGGGATGTTGGCCAACAGTGATCTGTGTCTGTCCATGTTCATGCACAAGAGTGTGGTGGAGGTCAATGAAGAAGGCACGGAAGCTGCGGCTGCAACAGCTGATGGGTTTGAATATGATTGTGCAAGTGAGGAACAGTATTTCTTCTGTGCTGACCGCCCCTTCCTGTTCTTCATCAGGCACAACAAGACAAACTGCCTTCTGTTCTGTGGCAGGTTTGCATCTCCATGAGAGGTGCATGACCTGTGTATGCAAGCATTTAAATCTCTGTCCCCAAACCCCGCACAAACTGCACCAACTTGGAACATTCTAAAAGCCACATGCAGTCTGAGAGCAGCATCTTACCAATTAATCAGCCCAGGCGCACCATGGATATGCTCTGCTCTCTCCTCAATACCACTCCCTATTTTCAGTTGACTTAGATCAGGACACAATGACCATATGGTGAAAATAGCAAGTGAAGCAGATTCAAGAGGGCAGCCTGCACAAGTGTCACTTATAGTCATAAATATCTCTTACTGTCTTGCCTGCGCTTCTTATTGCAGGACCACTGTGCTTCCTACCATCTCCTGTCCTATTGCACACTAGACGTACCTGTCCTTCTAAGTTGGAAGCCATGATGCTAGGCAAGAAACTTCCTCTGGGAGTTTTCCTGGAGCTTGGACTTTTAAAGAAGTGACATTATCATTTTATTTTTATCCGACATTTACTGCTTGACTGGACTGTTGAAAGCAATGCATTAGACCCGGGGACACAGTGTGCTTCTTTGGAAGTTGCTCTTCATTGTCAATGCCCAACTTGAAGCTTTTACAACAACCAGGTTGCCCTATTAATGTCTTCTTGCAGCAATGACCAATTTCTTCATGTAATTTCATTTCTCTATCTCCAACTCCAGCAGTTAAATTCCATTCTGCACATTAAATTCATTTTTGTTCTCCTTTTTTAAAGAAAATTTTCATTTTCTCCAGAACCTGATGCATAGTGAGGTTAACTGGGAAGCCACACATATTTGGGCTACATCAAGCCAGACAATTAGATATCATTTCCACTCCACCTTCACAATTACACCACACAGTACTCTTTGATGCTGCATATGCACTGACGTTACTACACAGTCGCATCCTCTAATACTCAACATTCCAAAGTCCTCTTCCTTCAGTCATACAAGGTGTGTACACTCACTTCTTACCACTATCCTCCATGCTTTCCAGTCACCTTGATCTCTCTCCCCTCAATGAACATGCCAGGCTACTTGCCACCTCCATGCTCCTTCTTCCTCCAAATCTCATTTACCCCAACAAGCTTCAAGCCTGTTACTGCATCTGCTTTGCCCATAAGCAGAGGCAAACTCTCCAGAAAAGGTGGTTTTGTAATGTCCTGGCAACACCTTCCTTCTTTTACAGAACCAGGCAGCTCCTTACTGATCTAACAGGCCTCCTTATACCACAGCATCTCTTTCACACTTCAGCTCAGAGAATGTCATTGGGAAGCTCCCCTGAAACTCTACATTTTATTTATTTTTTATCTTTTACTCATTTAATGAGAAAAAAAGATGAAATAACACTAAAAGCATATCAAAAACAGGTTAGTAGGACAGTTGCAACAACTTATACAATGCATATTGTTGTCTTCACAGTAGTTATTCAGGGGACAAGATATAGACATGATATATTGTCTAAGCAATATTAGCACAAAACTTTTTCCTCACTGAACTAAGCATTTCCATATTATATCTAAAGCATTTGATATTCAGAGAGATAGTGAGGTTAAACTCAACTGTCTGTTACAGCGAAATAGTATTATGTTTCTCTTCTAAATGTTTACCAACTAAAGTTTGCACACCAAAGAGTAGAGAAATAAAGAGGCTACAAGGATAGCAAATATTTTGGCCCTAACCCTTCAAGGTCATTGAGAAGTTAGGACATGAGAGAACCTGTGCTGTGACATCCTGTGACTCAGTGGTGTCACAAATTTACTGATCAAGAAATTATGGGGCCACAGTGGAAAGTGTATGATGATGCATAGCATGCCTAAGGAGGGTCACCTGGAGTGAATAAAGGTCTTTCAGGCATTCACAGAGAGTGTATTTGTCAAGCAATGGCCATGACTCATCCAGATGGCTGATGCTGACAAAGGATCTACAAATTGTTATGCAGAGTTTCAGGGTAAATCCTGAGGGGATTTGACAGACATTGTCAGATACCGCTACATTTTAGTTTGTGGTACTTTTCCTTTAAAATATGCCATACCTTATAGGGATATACCTGAAACTCCCTGAAGTTTGAATCTTTGCTTACATCCAGCCTTAGAGTTGATCTCGGTTGGGGCTGTTCCACTGTCAGCTCTTACCTTGAAGTTCTCACTCTGCAGTGTTCATGTGGGATTCACTGATGTTTCTCCACAATTTGATAAGCACCCCTGCATTAAACTGGGAATCACAGTGCCCAGGTTTGGTCACTCACCTGCCAGAAGCCTCTGTGTCCACTTCCCAAGGCTAACAGAGTTCACCTTGGTGATCAGACCAGTATCAAGTGTTTAGTTTACACCTCTTCCTCATACCCTCTACATAATAATTACTTACTTTTCCTGGCTGAGAAAAAATACCTGACACCCACAATTATTTTTTAATCTTTTTCTTCTTCATAATCTGTAGGGATTTAAAGTTTAACATATCAATGTTTAATGGAAAATACCTGTTCAATGTTATTTATAAGATGTTTGATATTCAGACAAATAGTGAGGTTAAACTCAACTGCCATTGTTATAGGGTAATATTATGAAGCTTCTCTTCTGGAGGGTTAAGAAGTTAGGTTTGCAGATCAAAAATTAGAGATAAAAAAGGGTTTCAAGGAAAGGCAAAATTTTGGCCCTAGCCTTTCAAGGTCAATGAGGACTCAGGACATAGAACCTGTACTCTAACATCCTATAACTCAGTTATGTCTCAAATTTACTGATCAAGGAGATTTTGGGGCCACAAAGGATAGTGATTGATGATGTATAGTGTGACTGAGGAGAGTCACATGGAGAGAAAACATTCTCTCAGCGTTTCACAGAGAGCAAATTAGTCAAGCAATGGCCGTGACTCATCCACATGACTGACACTGACAAAGGATCTACAAATTGCGATGCAAGGTTTCATGGCAAATCCTGAGGGGATTTGACTGACCTTGTCAGATACAAAAGGTACATTTCTTGTTTTATCGGTCTTGCTTTATCTCAGTCTTAACCATCCAGCAGAAAACTATAAAAATGAGGTAGAAAAAGTAAAGCAATATTAGTATGCTCATCTATAAAAATTAAAGTCAGCAACTTCTGACTTTGCCAGTCCTACTGATAACCTACTACTATTATGGAATACTGGACTATATTGTAATATTTTACTGAATTCACACACCTACAATATTTAAATGGCAATGGAATACCCTTCTCCGAAAAAACTAATCAAAATATGGGGATACACATGACGGACTATATTATATCTGTATATGCAAAATACTTAGGAGAGAAATAGATACATTCTCTTCATTCAATGAGAAGAAAGATTTGTACTAATAGTATTTGCACAGGATATCATGTCTGCATCTTCTACTATGAATAACCTCTAAGAAGACAACATTTACAATGTATTAATTATTGAAGCTGTCCTACTAATCAGTTTTGAAACTGTCTCATTTCTATTTGTTTCTCAATAAAATTATTAAAAAATAAAGAAGTAATGGTTGATACAGTTTTCTCTATGTAGATGTTTGAGTCGACCCTGTGGTGGCTGTGAGGCAGATGGGCATGTGGCAGAGGGGATCAGGTTACAATGGCAGAAAAAGTAAAAGCAGCAATATCAAAAGGGAGGAGCTGCAGAGACCAAGCATTGTCTGGAGAGCACCTGCCCAGAACTGGTGTATAACTCCAACGCATAGTCATAGCATTCAACCATAAATAAATCACAGACATTTGAAATGCACCCCTTGACAGCATGAGGCATTCTGGAGACATCTAGAAACAAATGATTACATTCTGCTGCTGGCCAATAGAAGATTCACTTAACATTTCATTGTAAAAAAGGCCTTTTTGAGGTCCGGTGAGTGTGTGGAGAGCTTCCTGCTACCCTG